TAGGGTCATAGATTTAGATCCATAAAGGGACCATAGAGGTCTTTGAGTTCCACCTCCTCAAGTAACAGTTGAGGAAACTAAGTCCCCAGGAAAGGTGAATGACTTTCCCTGGGTCACAGGGCCAGTATGGATCAGAGCCTGAACTACTCTGAAGCTTTCTATCATCTCCCAACGTAGGTGCTTCAAGTAGGAAGAAAGTGAAGCTCAGAGAGATTACAGGCCAGCCAGGAAACATCAGTGGCAGCATTCACACCAGGATCTCTCCTGACTCCAACTCCTCTCTTTGTACCACATCTGTGTGTGGTCTGTTACTAACTAGTTGTGGGACCATGGACAGGTCACTTAGATGTTCTCGGCTTTAGGTTCCTCCTCTGTAAAAGCTTCAGTGTGTTTATTTGGCACTGAGGATGGGCAGAGCCCTGTGCAGCAGGTATGGGGGAGGGGGGAGATTCAAAGTTTGAAGGGCACAGATGAGAAGAAGGACTCTGAGGGCCTTTCCAGCTCTTGTAGCCATCCCATAGTTCCCTGATTCAATGACTGGAGTGGGGAATAACTCGAAGAGAAGAGCCGTTGCAAGAAGGGGTGATAGGGGAGGTGGACAGGGAGATAGAGAAGGAATGAAAAATGGAGGTAAGAGACCTGAGGAGGAAAAAAGGATGCGGAAGTTTGGCAAGAATGGGATGACTGGAAGTAACAGGGAGAGGATAGCCAGGGGGAAGGTGGGACGCTGGGAAACCAGCTTAGCCTAGCAAAGAGGGAAGACTAAGCCAGCAGATAGGAGTAGCGGAGAGAAGGAGGAAGGGGAGAGCCGAAGGCTCACTGGTTTCTCAGGGAAAGGCCCCCGGACCCCTGACATCTCCCCTATCTCCCATTTTATGGGCCAGAAAACTAAGTCTACAAAGTGGCACTAAGTCCAACGAGTCGGGTGACCCTGAGGATCCAGCCAAGGCCCGCCCGGCAGGTGGTCAGGCAAGTGGAGCGTCTAGGTCATGGGGTCCCGGCCCGGGGTAGGACGGGCAGCCCGCCACACCCCACCCCACCCCACCCCACCCCACCCCGTGACCTGTCCCGCCTACTTTCCCCTACATTGGGCGGGCAAGGAGGCGCTCCCCACCACCCCCGCTCCCGCCAGCTCCCGCCTTGCCCACCCTGCACACCCTGCACCGAGCCGTCGCTGCCCCAGCCCGCGTGGCTGCTCCCTGGACGCAGCCCCCGGCCCCGGCCCCGGCCCCAGGGAGCCCACTCCCCCCAGCGCCTCGTACCCACCCGACTGTTGCGGCTGGCTGGCAGCGGCGGGCGGCGGGTGGCGGGGTCCGGCTCCGGTACGAGGTTTGGAGTGGGGGCCGCCGCAGTGTCCTGCAGCTCGGGCGCCCGGATCCGAGAGTCAGCGGCCCGGCCACTCCCCCAGCCAGGGCCCGGCGGCGGCGGCGGCGGGGGACAGCGGCTCTCCGCCTGGCGTCATCCCGGCCAGCTCCTCGGGATCCGCGAGCTGGCGCGCGCGCGCACACTCACACACACACATACATACATGCACTCACACACATACACACACGCCCGCACACACAGACACACAAATACACAGGGACGTGCACCCCGCCCCCCGTCCTACCCCCCCTCAGGCCCCCCCCCCCCCCCGGCGCCCCCCCCCCCCCCCCCCCCCCCCAAGCCAAAAAAAAAAAAAAAAAAAAAAAGGAAGACAGATACCTACACGCCCCCTGCTCCCCCCTCCCCGAACAGTCGCAGGTACCCCCGCACCTATCCCCGCTTCTCCTAACAGTCGTCTCAGGGGCCCAGAGACACACAACCACACATAGAAAGAAAGCCCTGGAGAGTCCCTTGGCAACCTTCCCAAGGAGGACAACGACCCAGCTTCTCCGGGAGGCTGAAGTGGGATTGGGACCTCCATCTCCAACCCCTCTCTCAATTCTATCCCACCCCATCCCGTCCCAGGCAGCCCAGAGTCCAGGGGCCTTGGGGCCAAGAGCCAGAAGCTTGGGCTCCTGCTGAGCTTTTGCTCGCTACCACCACCACCACCACCACGACACATCGAAGGACAAAGATAAACTCCTTTCCCTACCCAACAAAAGGGGCAAACAGGTTAGTTCCCCATTCCCCTCTCCTGACTCAGAAGAAAACAGCCTGATCAACCCTAGGATTTCTAGAGCTCTCTTGGGCAGAGAGTACAATGGAACCAAAGCGAGGCATTTTGATCAAGGTTCTAGGTTTGAAGTGGGAGGGGATCTTAAAGCCCATCTGGTCGTCCCCCTCCCCCATGTTGTTAAAAGATGTGGAAACTGCTAGAGAGAAACAAAGTGACTTGCCCCAGGTCACACAGGTAACAAATAGCAAAGCCAGGGTTCAGACCCAGTTCTTCTGAGTCTGAATCCAATGTTCTTTCTGCTGTCCCCCGTTTGTCCCTGTAGGTTCATCCCTTTTCCAGCTCAGGGCTGCTTTTTACAAATCCTTTCCTGATCTGAAGCAGGACTCAGAGCTCCCTCCCTTTCTCCTCCCCCCCTCCCCCATCTCCTAGCTCAGTGGAGGATTTCATTTCTGGAGTGCAACAGCCACAGAAACCCCTTTCCATCTTTCCCCATCCCAGATCCATCAGTCACTTCATTTGGCATGAGCACCCCTTTTCCTTCCTTTCTCCACCAGGGCAATGGGCCCCTAAGTGCCCATCTAGGAAATTCCCATTCTCCTCTGAAAGGAGAATACCTAACTCTGTTATGATGGGTAATGCCACTCCTATCCTTGCATCCTCCCAACTGACTTACAGTTTTGCAGGTGCCATGAGGGTAGACCACACGAATGATCTCCCCTGTAGGGATGAGTTCCACTTGAAGCGCCATCTCAGCCCCCCGAATGCTCAGGCCTCCTCACTGAGAGCCAGGGCCTGCGCCTTCTGCCTCCTGCTGCTCCAGTAGCTAGGAATTTATGGCCTCGGTCAGGGCTTGCCACTTGGGCTAGGTTCAACTCTGGCCCCAGGGGATGTGGCCAAGTCGGGCTCCTCAGGACGCAGCCGGACAGTGGTCCCAGGGCTGGGGCTGAAAGCAGGAAAGGGAAGAGCTGATAGGGGCTAAGGAAATGCCTGCTGCCCCAGGTAACGGAGGGGAATGATGAGCCCCCCCCCTCCCCTTCACCAGATTCAGTGCTTCCGGTCCAGAGGAGGGTGGGACATCCCTCTCTCTAGCTCCCATGCCACTCCCATGACTTGGGTCTTTCCTACTCACTCCCAGACGTCAAGGAGCTTAGAAGCTTTCCATTCTTATCTGGGAGGGAAGTGGCAGAACAGGGTGGGACAGGCCAGGCCACTGGAGCCTCAAAGGGCATACAGCAAATTCTCTCCTAGCTGTGTACCCCACTGCCTGCCTGATAATCTACAAGCAACTGGAGAAACTGACCAAGGTAACCAGGGCTTTGTCCCATGGTATCCACATACAGATGTCTCATTCTCTCTCCAGGAGTCGTGATTAACTTGGAACCTTGGTTCTTTGCAGGTTCTGCTGTAAGTCATCAGTCCTATCACCCTTGCCTGACCCTGGGCCATCAACCTCTCACAAGCCTGCTTTTCCCTGTAACCCATTCAGGGAAGACTAAAACTCTGGGGTAAGTGGAACCCTATCTCCCAGCACAAGTATCTTCACTCACCCTTCCCCCTGATTTGATTGACCTCAGTGCCAAGGCCATAATTACCATCACCATCACGGACGTGTCTCTGGCTCACGTGAAAGAATTCCTAAGTGCTTCTTTGGCAGGAGGGAAGAAGGTTCAGTGGAGGTCTGGCATCTATTCTTCCCCACTGAGTCCTAGCGCTTCATGTCTCCCCATCCCCAACTCTGTGGTGAGCATCCTTTAGTGGTGTGCCCTCCCCTTCAGGCCCACATCCCAACGTTCCTGTTTTCCCCTTCCACTTTCATTGTTGTTAAATCACAGCTGACATTTTCCTGGCCTGGGTTGGAGCCCTTAAGACTTTAGGCTGTTCCTTGTAGGAAGTGAGAAGAGGAAGTGGAGGGGGAAATCACCTTTCCCAGATGGAGAGGCTGGAGCCTGGAAGATGGGGGCTCTCAGAGCAGTGAGACATTTCAGTCCCATCCCTCCAAACACCACAAGACACCCCACTCTACTCCTTTCCCCCTCCCAGGAAAGGCCAGTAGTTTCCTTCCTCTGGGAAGCGCATCTATCCAGGAGCAGGTTCATTTCTGGCGGCCACACAATGGCCCTTATCAGACTAGGGAGTCAGGTCCCAGAAAAGTAAATGGACACGTCTGGGGTACTTCCTGTTTCCACAAAGAAGGCAGGGCTAGGCTCATAGCCGCCACATATCCTGATTGGGGAGGGAGGGAGATGTCATTTCTCCCTTATCTCAATTAGGGCAAGTCTCACTCCTTCCATCTTGCAGAGGAATCCTGCTAACAGAAGGGATGTCTGTGTGCAGAGACTTGTTCTGGTGACATAAGGGGGTGGGGTGAAAAAGTGGAGAAAATGAAAAGGGCAGACAGAGCAAACAGAGACAAACTAATTGAAAGAAAATGCAAACTGGAAAATCTAAAAAATCAGTCAACTGAAAGTCAGGGGACCCACTCCTGAGTTTTACATTTACCACAAACTAGCCAGATGGCTGGGCAAGTCATTTTTCTAGACATTTCCCCCCAGCAGGCTCACAGGATCTCTTGGAGAACTTACGAACAATGAGACGGACCAAAGTAAAACAGAGGCAGAGATGTTGTGGTGGAAAGAATACAAGATTTAGCTACACAGTCCCAGAAGCCAAATCCCCATTCTGCTACTTATCTGGGAGATGTTAAACTGGGCCTCAGTTTCCTAACCTGTAAAGAAGGCTGGACTACCTCATTAAGGTCTCTTGCAACTCTAACCCTACGACCCCATGAATAGCTAGGGACAAGAGAAAGTAAGTGTTCAGGAGACTGGCCTCTCATCACAGGGGAGAGTAGATTTTAATGAGAATGTATGCAAAGTGTTTTTTTAAGACCTTAAAGTGCTACACAAATGACAACAATTTATTATTAGACCAAGAGGCCTGGATCCTTTCCCAAAACTGGTCTTGCCCTTCTGGCCAACACAACATTTTGCCTGCCCCTTGTCCCCAGCCTGGGCTGGGAATTTGGAACCAATGCACAATGCAGGGTGAGATTTTTTCGAGTCAGATCCAGGAGAGAGGTAATTTCAAGGATGAGGTGGAAGAACATGAGAGATGACATGGGGAGATGAGGACACAACAGATCGAGCATAAAGAAGAGACAGACGGGAATATAGGAAATCAAGGGGCCTCTATGATGGAAAATGACTCCTTCCGATGGGAGGAGGCCACCAGGGTGAAGGTGAGGCATGGGGCAAATGCAGAACCCCAACGGCGTGTTTCAGCTAAAGGCAAGAGTGAGATACTAGGGAGTGGGAGTAGGTGGAATTCAGGGGGTCTCTGGCCCCCATAAGTACTTCCCTGGGTTTTCCAAGCTTCAAGAGCCACAGCCCTATCATTTGGAAGCTGACAAACTTCAATCTCCACTAAGTGGGATCCTCTGGACTGACTGACCCAGAAGTCCAGTCCACCCCCATTTCCCCTGCCCTGGGCTATCCAGATCCAGCAGCCCCAGGAATCAGAGGGGGGACTGGATCCCCAGGGCAGAGAGACTTGCATTCATCTTCTCCTGCTAATACTGGAGCACGTGCTTCCAAGCAACATTAACAGGAACACACAAGGCCACTCTAAAAGCCACATCTCTATTCTCAAATATAACAGACACAGATGCACAGACTCAAGTTGCTGGGGAGCCAGGGCAGGGACAGGAGAAGCACAGGGAAGTTGACATTCAAGGCTTCCAAAGGGGAAATGTCAAGCAGCCACTGGCCTGGAGCCCCACCTTCGGGAGCTTCTCTGTGGAGAAGGGGGCTCCGCGGTCACTGAATCGACCCCCTCCGTGGGCCTTTGGGAAGGAGGGAGGAAAGAACCGCAGTGATGTCACCGAGCAGGCTCCCTGAGATGGTCTTTCCTAGGAGACTAAGGCAGAGTTGCCATGGACCCCCGTGGCTGGGGGTGGAGTTGAATGACTTAAAATTTCATGACAGTACCTAGAGAGGAAGGTTTTCTTAAAGATCCCCAGATGGCCTTAACTATCAGCTTGTCCAGTGCATGCAGAGGGGTCCCACAGTTGTTTCCTGTGGGCTAGTATCTCGCGAAACAATGGTGCTATGGGAATTGGCTCGTAAGACCTAGTTGTTGGGGTGAGGTATCCCAGAAATGCTGAAAGAAGGTGAAGATGATGGGCTTCAGGGCCACAAGTCTTAGAGCTCCTCCTGGGAAGGCTGGAGCCTCAGCTATGTCACAGCCAAGGGCAGGAGGCATCAGAATGGACTGAACTGCCCCCACCCCATGACCTCAGGTTGCATCTCATGGCCAAAGGGCTTCCTGATCCAGGACCCTCTCGAGAAGACACTTAGCAATCTGCTACTACACTAAAGCTATAGGCCTAATTCTCCATGCTAAAGGAAGGGCACATTACCACATGCCCATCACTATGCCACCCCTGCCCTGCCACTGGAAGAGGGATATGCTGCCAAGATTCCAAGATTCCTCCTAAAACTTGGAGGACTGCTGCCAACTGGTCAGAGGATCCTGTACAAATCTATCTCCCTATCCCTGCCAGCCAGAGCCCTGGAGATGGAGTCACAGGAATGTGGGGCAGGTGCCAGCTGGGGCATGTGGCTGGCAGCCCCACTGAGGGCAGGGCAGGAGGGTGGAAGGAGGGTAGAAGAATCTCCCTCTCACTCAGCTGACTGTCCTTGAGTACACAGTGCAGATGGACCAGCTGGCCTCATCCGTATCCTGGTAAGTGAAACTTAATCCCAGTCCTGAATGGGGAACCAGGAGGTGATTAGGGGAGGCGGGTACTCTGCAGGGGGTGCCCCTATCTTGAGAGAGCTGGACACACAAGCAACAGCCATCTGGGGGAGCTGTGACCCCTATTTAGGCATTCACCCTGGTTCAATACATCAGTGGATCTCCTTTCTTTTCTCTCCAGTCATCTGGGGTCATGGCATTTTTAGGGATCTGGAAGGAGAGAAGAGATGGTGAATTAGTGCTTGAGGGTGGGGGAGAGGTGTTTCTGCCCTGCCCCCATCCCAATCTCCTCACTGTAACTGGCTTTCTCCAAAGCTCCCAGAACGAAATTCCATGACCACAGACCAGGCCATGTTACCACCTCTACTGGTGGACCCCAACACCAGACCCAAGCAACTCCCTCTTCCCTCTGCTTTGCCCACCTCCCATTCTGGCCAGCTCAGGGTCCAGTAATAGCTCTTACCTGGAAGGGTTCACTCAGCCCCACTACAGCCTGAAGGTTGTTACTATAGTAACTGAGAAGAAACTCTCCTCCTTCCTCTGGGAAACCACTAGCATTGATATAAACCTGAAAGAGGGAAAGGAAATGGAGAGAGTCAGCTAGAGGCCTAGACACTTACCTATTTGTCAGCCCAGTTCCCAGTCTTCCCTTTCAAGGAAAGTCTCTGGCTCTCAGGTAACAGAGTCAGGCATCTGGCCCCTTGGTGCCTCAGTTTCCCTCTGCTCACTAAGTCCTCCCAACTGTGCATCTTTAGCACCTATATCAGGCATTGGGGAAGGAGACTGGCCCTGTAATGGGGCAGGGTTCCAGGGAGCATGAGCCACTCATGGGGGAAGGGCCTGGATACCTGGTGACACCCGTCACGTGAAGAGACCAAGTTGTCCTTGACCCAAGCATAGTTCACATAGTCCTTCACATGGCGTATCACAACCTGGCAGTCAAGACATGGCAAGAGCAGGGGTTAGTCAAGGGCCTGAGACCTATTCATGGCCAAGGGGGCCTATGGCTTTCCCACTCAGGCAATGCTGGAGGCTCCACAGGAAGGAAACACTCAAGCCAGGAAGGGGCTGCCCAAGGCTACTGCGTGATGGATCTCCCTGGATCTGCCACAAACAGAACCTCCAGCACGCTCCAGGGAGGTCTGAGGTCGAAAAAGTGAGAGACCCAGGCCTTGGCTGACCTACGCCCACTGGCACTCTCCCCACACCTCCAACTTGTTACCTTGTGGAGGCCAATCCAGTCCCAGGGGCTGCTGATGAAGTCAGGGCTCTGGTTGTAGCTGACCATCAAATCGTAAGGTGTGATCCACTGCCCCGCAGGAATCAACGTGACCGGTGGGCTTAACAGTAGGGACTTCAGCTGGACATGACAGGAGCGAAGCTCTCATCATTAAGCATCCTCCTAACCTGGGGGACAGGGTTGAACTCTATAGAGCAGCACAGGGGCATCAATGGTGGGGCTGCTCCATGAACGGTCTTTATGGGAAGGCCTCGTGCCCTGAGATCCTGAGAAAGGGTCAGAGTCTGGCTGGCTAGAAAGGCAAGAACACACTGTTTGACCAGAACCAGATCATCCTGCAAGGGAGGACCAGGGGCTTCTTCTCAGCTGTTTCACTAGGAAAAAGGCCACTTTACAAGGAGGGTAGCCAGTCACCGAAAGAGCCTTGGGTACGGAAAGAGGAGGCAGTTCTCTGAAGAAACAGAGGGGCACCTGGGTAGGTAGGAAGTACCAGGGGCCCAAGAGGACCTGGGGGGAGATAACGCCAGTGAGGTGAGAAGATGTCGACTCAGATCAACCTTCCACGTGGTTTTAAGTGTTCCCAAACTCAAGGGTGAAACTGCAGGATTAGAGACTATGCCCTCAACTGCTTCCATACCTCCAGAGAAGGGCAAGTAAAATTGTTGCAGGGCTTTATTTTGGTGGAGAGGGCAAGAAGCCTGGCTCTGAGCACAAACTAAAATAAAGACTCTTCTATTGGGAAAGGCAAAGAGAGTGGTTGACACTTATGTCATTAAGGTCAATAGGATGCGGTAGGCTCCTATTGAAATGTGAGCAGGTAAGTTTAGGAGCAAGAGGAGGAAGTCCTGCTTCACAGAGCAGCCAACAGGTAGGGGAAGGCCTGCCCTTGAGACTGACAGCCAGAAATGACCACTGAGGGAAGATGGGGAATACTGGATCTGTAAGGAGGAGGCCAGGGAAGACAATGGCCATCTCTCCTTGCCTATTTCTTTGGGATCTCGACTAGCCACCGAAGACTGGGCCTCAAGTTCGTTGGGCTAGGTATATGTGAAGGGGGAGGCTCACCTCCAGCTCAAAGGTCGCTGTAACTGGCTTGTGGTCACTGATTTTATATTTCATATGGCTTTCATAATTCTTCAATATCAGAGAGAAGAAGCGATCACATTTCCCAGAGTCCCCAGGGTTATTTAAGAGCTCCCGCTTCATCCTCCAAAGGATGCGGTCAGTCCATGCTGGTTTTCGTCTTTTCTCACTAGATTCATAAGGAAGAAGGGGAAAGGAAGGATGAGGGTGGCTAAGCAGTGACGGCATCAGCAGTGAAATGCTAGGCTATCCCAATTACATTAAACAGAGTTTGTAATGGCCCTTAATGACAGGAATCATCAGGCACAAGGGGCCCGTGGCAAGGGATGGGGGAAGGACAGCTGAGTTGATGGGATATGCCACCAGCGGCCAATTACGTTGAAGCAAGTCAGAAAGTATGAAGGTCCTTTTGATTTTCCTACACTGCAAATAAATGGAATCACATGATTTGAAAGATTCTGACTCAGAAACTATTAGTAAGCAATTCCAAAATCTCTTTCTCTTAATCCAAAGCAGCATCCATTGTCCCTGGGAACCAAGAGTAGTCCCAGAAAGGAGACACGCTGCCAGTCCTGATGGGCATTCCCATCAAGGGCTGGCCCACAGTGACATGATGGACTGGACTGGTTCCTGCTACTTAAGGCTTTTATTCTCCTCCTTCCCCTTCCCTGACCCCTTCAGTAGAGGACCCAGCTTTACAGAGGAAAGAAAGGTGACTCTTTATGAGCTATCCTCTTCCCTAGCCTGCATCTCAAAAGCCTTAGACATCATCTCCCATTCCCTCCCTTTTACTCTAATCTATGATGAAGGAGCAACCTTTCTCCTGGATAAGGCCAAGACTTGCACTTACACCCTTGGTGCCATCCCCTCATCCCCCTCCACAACCATCCTCCACTCCTGATCTTCCATCTTTCTTCTCTATAGCTCTTCTTTATCTCTTGCCTTTTATAACCAAACTTAGAAAAAGCTGTCTACACTCACTGCTTCCACAACCTTCTCTTCACACTTCTCAGCCCTCTGCAATCTGGCTTCCAACCTCATCACTCAGCTGAAATTGCTTTCTCCATAGTCGCTAATGAGTTCTTAATCACCAGATCCCAATGGTCTTTTCTCAGTCTTGATCCTTGTAGACCTCTCTACAACTTCTGTCTGTTGCCCACTTTCGCCTCCTGAACAATCTCTCCTCTGAGTTTTTGTGACAGTGCTCCCCTCCTGAGTCTCCTATCTTACCAATTCTTCCCTGTGCCCCCCCCTTCACTAGATCATCATCCACATCCCATCCCTTAATTGTGAGGACATCCCAACACCACATATCTCAGGCCATCTTCCCTTCTCTCTCTACCCTATTTCTGGGTAACCTCATCCTGGGTTCAATGATCAGATCTACCCAGATCTACCCAGATCTCAACATTCAGCCCTAATCTCTCTCCTGAGCTCTAGCTCCATCTTACCAACTACTTCTTAGACATTTCCATCTTAGACAAATACCATCCATAGGCATTTTAAACTCAACCAATTTAAAACAGAATTCATTAACCTCACCCTCTCCCCTGTAACTCATCACCCTTTATAATCTCTAAGTTTTTGTCAAGGGCACCACCATCCTTCCTCTACCTCCAGGATTTGCAACCATTGAATCCTCATGCTTCCTCATTACACATAACAATCAGTCGCCAAGTTTGGCTGATTCCATCTCCACAACATCTCTTGCATCTGTTCTCTTCCCTCTTTTCACATAGCCAACACTCTAATTCAGACCATATCACCTTTCTTCTAGACCAGGGGTGGGGAACCTGCGGCCTCAAGGTCACATGTGGCCTTCTAGGTCCTCAAGTGTGGCCTTTTGACTGAGTCCAAGTTTTATAGAACAAATCTTTTTATTAAGGATATTTGTTCTGTGAAGTCTGGATTCAGTCAAAGGGCTGAACTTGAGGACCTAGAGGGCCACATGTGGCCTCAGGGCCACAGGTTCTCTACCCCTGTTCTAGACTATTGCAAGAGCCTCATGACTGGTCTCCTCCCCTCCAGGCTCTCTCCTCTCCAATCCATCCTGCACACAGCTGCCAAGGTGGTTTTCCAAGGTTACTCTCCTGTCCTGTTAACTCCAGTGACACTCCATTATTTCTAAGATAAATAATAATAATAATAATAATAATAATAATAATAATAATAATAATAATGATTCTGCTTGGTATTTAGAGCCCTTCAGCACCTGACTCAAACCTACTTTCCCAGTCTTATTACACATTACTCCCTTTCATGTGCTTGATGGACCAAGGAAACTGGCCTTGATGTTCCTCATCCACGGCACCCCATTTCCCATTTCCATGCTTTGGCACTAGCTGTCTCCATTGCCTGGAGTGTACTTCTTTCCCTCTACCTCTTAGAATATATAATTTCCTTCAAAGCTTAACTAACCTCTACAGGCCTTTCCTGACTCCTCTAACTGCAGCTGTCTTCACTCATGCATTTATTCTGCACAGATTTATTCAGGATGGACCAAAAATCTTAGCATGACTCGAAGGCTTTCTTAAAATTCTATTTTATTTTCAGGTCCACATTCTCTTCCTCAAACCTTCCTCCTCACCTCCCCACACTGAGAAAGCAAGAAAAACAAAACCAGATACAAACGTGTGTAGTCAAATGAAATAAATTCCTGCATTGGCTGTGTTCAAAAATGTGTGTGTGTGTGTGTGTGTGTGTGTATGTGTGTGTCAATCTGCCCTCTAAGTCCTTCCCTTCTCTATCAGGAGGTGGGCAGCAGCATGTTTCAACAAGAGTCCTCTGAAACCTGGTTATTTAGTCTGTTCATCAGAGTTCCTAAGTCTTTCAAAGTTGTTTGCCTTTACAATACTGTTACCGTATATATTTTTTTCTCTTGGTTCTACTCACTTCACTTTCTATCAGTTCATAACATGATTTCCCAGACTTTTCTGAAACCATCCCCTTCATCATTTCTTAGAGTACAATAATATTTCATCGCATTTATAGACAACTTTTCAGCCATGCCCTGCTTGTTGGGGAGCTTCTCAGTTTCCAATTCTTTGTCACCATTAATGTACCTGTTTTCCCATAGCCTCTCGAGAATTTGTCATTTTCCTTTTTGTCAACTTTATCAACCTGATTGGTATGAGGAGGTACCTATGAGTTATTTTAATTTGCATTTCTCTAAATATCAATGATTTAGAGAATTTTGCATGACTATTGATAGAATGGGTTCCTTCTGAAAACTGTCATATCCTTTGACCATTTATCAATTGGGGAATGGCTCTTATTCTAATAACTTTGGGTCAGTTTCCTATGTGTTTGAGAAATGAGGCCTTTATTAGAGAAACTTATTGAAAAGGTTTTTTGTTTACCATTTGCCTGCATCTCTTCTAATTTTAGCTGCATTGATTTTTAGTTTTCACTAAGATTTCTGAAGCACCTTGTATGTGTTCATGATGTCTCTCTCAACAGAATGTAGGCTCCTTAATGGCAAAGATTATTTCACTTTTGCTTTATTCCTGGTCCCTAGCACAGAACTGACCTCATGGCAAAAGAGGCACAAAAATACTTGGGAAAATATCATCTTAAAAAACAGAATTGGTCTAATGATAAAAGAGGCACAAACATTTAAAAGCAAAGTAGGTCATATGGAAAAGGAGGTACAAAAGCTCATTCAAGAAAGCGATTCCTTAAAAATTAGAATTGAGCAAGTAGCAGCTTGGAAGGCAGATTGGGGGAGGTAATGGTCAGAAGCAAGACAGACTTTTGGGGAGGGCTAGTATAAAAAGAGAGAGAGAAGGATAAACAGAGGAAAATGGGATGGAGTGAAATGTACAGTTAGTGTACATAACTGTGAATGTGAATGGGAGGAGCTCACCTGTAAAACAGAAGCAGGTAGCAAAATGGATTAGAAACCAGAATCCAACAAATATTGTGTACAAGAGACACACTTGGGACTGAAAGACACACAGAGAGTTGAAACAAAGGGCTGGAACAGAGTCTGTTTATACTTCAGCTGAAGAGGGCAGGGGTAGCAATCATGATCTCAGACAAAGAAAAAGCAAAAATAGATCTAATTGAAAGAGACAAGGGAAACTACATCTTGCTAAAAGGTACCACAGACAATGAAGCAGTGTCAAGAAATTCTTATAGCAAACTTCCTTGATAAAGGCCTCATTTCCCAAATATATAGGCAACTTAATCAAATTTATAAAAATAAGAGCCATTCCCCAATTGATAAGTGGTCAAAGGATATGAACAGGCAGTTTTCAGACAAAGAAATCAAAGCTATCTATAATCGCATGAAAAAATGCTCTAAATACTATTGATTAGAGAAAGGTAAATTAAAACAACTCTAAGATACCACCTCATATTTATCAGAAATGCTATAGGGGATGAGGGAAAATAGGTACATTCACGAACTGTAGGTGAAGTAGTGAACTGGTCCGACAATTCTGGAGAATAATCTGGAATTATGTCCAAAGGGCTATAAAACTATGCATACTCTTTGATCCAGCCATACTACTACTAAGTCTGTATCCCAAACAGATCAACACACACACAATGTATTACATGCATATATTTATAACAGCTCGTTTTGTGGTAGCAAAGAATTGGAGATTAAGGGGATGCTGATCAACTGAGGAATGGCTGAACAAGTTATGGCACATGGTTGTGAGGGAGTACTACTGTGCTATAAGAAACGATGCGAGGCTGGTTTCAGAAAAGTTTGGCAACCCCTATATGAACTGATGCAAAGTGAAGTGAGAAGAAATGGGAGATCACTGTACACAGTAACAGCAATGTTGTCATGATGATCAACTGTGAAGGACTGGCTACTCTGATCAATACAATGATCCAAGACAATTCCAAAGGACTCATGATGAAGAAATGCTGTCCATCCCCAGAGAGGGACTGATGAACTTGGAATGCAAATTGCAGTACAATTTTATTTTTTTTTCAAAATGACTAATATGGAAATATGTTTAACATGATTTCACGTGTACAATTGATACCACATTGTTTGCCTTTTCAGTGGGTAGCAGGGAATCTGGTACTCAAAATTGAAAAAGAAAAGAATGTTAAAAATAATAAATATTTTTGTAAAAAAGCTTTCACCTTTCTTCCCTCACACAAGTAACACTCAGAAAGCTGCTGGGCACATAGTAGGTACTCCCTTCCAACTTGGTGATTAATCTTTTGGAGGAGCCAGGCAATTGAATTCATGCTCAAGTTTAGCTCCAGGAAGACTTTTGTTTCTGCAGATAAAAATGCTTCTCTTGTCTAAAAATACAACTAGTCATTCTGCATGTTTTTTTCCTCTTTCAGTTGCTAGAAAAGCCCAAAGCCAAATTTATTGCACAAATGTAACAACTGGATTGATTTTAAAGTCTGAAAACATCATTACTTCTCATTTGAGATGTATTCTGCTTAAAAATGTCAGCTGCTTCATGACTTTGGGAAAAGGGAAGGACTGAGTCTTAAATAAAAAAAACACAGATTGATCTTTCCACAATATGCTTGTCATTCCTCTGCTTAGAAAACTACATTGCCTCTTACTGACTTCTGCATCAAAACCCAACTGATCTATGCCCTAATCCTCCCCAATGGCTCCTGCCCTCCCCTCTCATTTTCCCAACTTGGGAAGGGGTTCTGACCTGTTATGGCAGCCATATCCTGCTCTCACTGTACTTACTGCCCTCATTCTCCCTCCTGTCTTCTGTTTGTTTAACCAGCAGAACTGGGGCCCAGACTCCTGACGAGCCTGGCAGGAGCTACTGGCTGTTTGTCCAAAGTGACTTTGTCACCCTTATCTTTAAACTGGGCTAGGAACCTGCTGGTATAGCCATGATGAAAGACTCTGCCTACACACTGGGAATTAGAAACTAAAGGCCCTGGAATGACACGCCACCACACTAATGCATATACTGCATTCCAGAGCACTGGCACTACCTGAAGCTAGCACAGTGCTGCTCCTGCAGGCCAGTACACCATACGCACGGACACAAGTCACTCCTGGGTGAAACTTGTGAAGGACTGATGAAAACCCCTAATATTTGCATGATTCTTTCAGATACATCCTTCATTTGATTTGATATTCACAACAATGCTATGTATTATCATCTTTGAGCTCAGAGCAGTGAAATGACTTGCCCTAGGTTGAACAGCTAGTAAATGTTAGTACCCACACTCAAATCCAGGATCTCTTCTGACATCAAGTTCATTGTTCATTCTACTACACCAGAATGCATCTGGGTGGAAAAATCAACTTTTTTAGGCTGCTAGAGACTCCTTCCTTAAATGAGTGTTCCCTCCCTAAATAAGGGGAACTTCATCTCCTTAGCAAGCCAGTCTCCTTTTGCCTTTTGAGCTTTATTTATAATTTCTCTGTACCCTAGCATGTGGTCTATTTTTGTAAAATTACCACATGATACTGAAAAATACGTATATTCTTTACTGTTCCTTTCAGAAGATGCCATAAGACTTTCCAATTTAACTTTTCCAAAAGTCTGTTCAATAAGTTCTATATTTTCCTTTTGTGCTTATTTTTCTGTTTAACTTATCAAGCTCTGAGAGGAACATTAAAGTACAATTATGATGGTGATGAGTTTTTGCAGTCCTGTTAAGTTTTTCCTTCATAAATTTAGATTCAATGACACTTAGTGCCACATTTCATGATATCGTTTCTTTGTAGTGCCTTTAAGTAGAATGTAGTGTCCCCACTCATCTTCTCTTGATATTGTAAATTTTTACTTTTGTCTTGTCTGATAGCATGACTACAACTTCGCTTTTTTGGAACTGCCTAATACATAATATTCTAAACCAGTTTCTCGTTCTTATACTTCTTTTGGAAGCACCTAGAAGGATGCCAGGCACAAGATGGATGTTCAACAATGTGACTTGGGACCGTCTACCAGATGTACTTTCTTCTTAGAGAGACTTAACTCACTGTCTCATCAGGGCTTCATCATTCCCTCCTCCCTCCTCTGGGGACCTTTGTATATCACTGACTTCTCTCTCTGCTTCCACTTCTCCTTATGAATAAATCTGGGGCAGCTCCTTATGTTCCTGGGAGGCTGTTGCTTCATGAGATGGAAAGGAAGCAAGGCTCCAGAATGATGCCAATTATTTCTATTCCTGCTCCCTTGATAGTTCTTTTTGGGGGCTGCTTCTCCTATCCTGTGCTTCCCTCATTCCCCAGCCCGGATCCCCCAGCCCTCTCCTCCGAACACTCTCAGACACTCCTCCCAACTAGCTCCCTGGTAACCACATGATGCCCTGCCAGGTCTTCCTACAGCTAGTCCTGCCGTTGGCCCCTCACCTGGAATCATAATTTTCTGAGTTGACGTCAAATTTATAGGTTGGCTGGAAGAGCAGAGGACCCTCCTGGAACTGCTGGAGCAGCGAATCTGTCTTCTTAATCATGTTAAGCTACAGAGAGAAGAAGATCCTTCATTGCTACATGGCCAAGTTGTAAAAATGCAAAAACTGGGCACTGGCCGAGCACCAGAGCTTCAGTATGCAATTAGGGTAAGGAGATGCTTAAACATGTTTTCTCTGTTATCACCTTAAAGATAACATTTGGGTCCTGGAATCAGGAGGACCTGAGTTCAAATCCCCTCTCAGTCACTTAACACTAACTGTGTGACCCTGGGCAAGTTACTTAACCCCAACTGCCTCGCCAAAAAAAAAAAAAAAAAAGAAATCTTTATGCTTTAATGGGGCAGCTAGGTATTGCAGTGGATAGAGCACCGGGCCTGAAGTCAGGAGGACCTGAGTTCAAATCCAGCCTCAGACCAAACACTTGACACTTACAAGCTGTGTGACCCTGGACAAGTCACTTAACCCTAATTGCCCTAAACCAAAAAAAAAAACAAAAAAAAAAAGGAAAAAAGATAAAATTTGATCCCCTGCCAAGGAAGGGACCCAAATTTCTCAAGTGGTTCCACTTCTTCCTTTATTGCCCCTCTCAGTCTCTACAAGAAAAGAAGCTGGGGCCCTTTGGAAAATCAATCTACTGCCCCAGATAAAAGCAGCTGATGAGGCTCTGAATGTTTTCCTGGGGACAAACAGTTGACATATCTTAGAAAGGAAGATGGAGTTATCAGGGCAGTTCCCCAGAGTTAAGGGGATCATGCACTATAGGAAAGACATTCCCTTGAGAGGCCTTAGGGGTGGTGTCAAGGGAAAAAGGGAAGTCAGTTCAACAGCTCTGAAACCAGGTATTTGGAGTCAGGTGCACATAGGTAGGGAGGGAGAGAAAGGCCAGTGGCTGAAGTAGCCTGACATTGGTGTGGTGGAGTTGGTGAGAGAAGAGACCCCTCCTAGCTCTCAGACAATCCACATCAGATTTAGTCTGGACAGAACGATGAATCTTCTAGACAACTCTTAAAGTAACTGGAGTGGCACATGGCCAACAATCTCTTGGACCTAAGACTGGGCATAGGTTCCCAAGTGCCAGTCATGGAAATGAAGGTGATAGAACCACCGAATGGCCATCAAGGATGTCTTGGTCCTCCAACACCTTCAGACTGGCCTTGTCCCAGGCTCAGAGCCCAATGAAGGGCTTTCTTTCCCTATTCAGTACCTGATCTTTCCTCCAGAGGATGCTGTACTCCTCATTGTTGATGGATTCCTGGATAAAACACAACCCATAATCCTCGATGCGAAAGTTTAGGTCACCAAACCACAGGAGGAGACTTCAGAGAGAAAGCCAGAATGAGCATCATCAAAATGGAGCCTGTGGACACCACTAGAGGCGTCAGCTCAAGCCATCTATCATGAATATGGAGGAAAATGACTAAATGAGATGAGACCTAGAGGTCATTACCTCCCTGTCACACACAGCTAGTCACTTCGCAACGCCAAAATGGAGGCAAGGTAAAGCAGCTTTGTGCCAACAGACCCAAGTGCCTCATGTACAGAAGGACTGTCAGCCCTTCTAGGCCAGAGGGATGCGGGACATGTTAAATAACTTTGCTCTAATCTTGACTCCCTCTGAGGGGAAGAGAGGACCTAGCCAAGGACAGAAGCTCTGGTTCATTCCTGAGTTAGCCAGGGTTCACAGGGCCCTGCTTCAGGGAGAGGAGCTCATAAGGGATGGAGCTCTTCTCTGTATTAGACAGAGGTAGAAAATTCAGGGCGGGGGAGACATGGACACAGCCATGGTTTGGGGGTGAGAGGTAGGGAATGGGACCCCAAGTAAACCAGAAGGGTGGTTTGGGACTAAGCTGCAGGTACTCACTCATGGTCCAGGATGTTGGGGATGTCTTGTTTCTCAAAGTTCTGCATCTCTAGGATCTTGTCAAAGTCGCTGAGCCGCTGGTCAATGTTGGACAGATGGGCTGGCAGGTGGCAGTTGAGGAGACAGATAGCATAGCCATATAGCCGAAAGCAGATGGCAACTCCCCCTTTGTTCCCCTGTCAGGGCAGAAGGGTAACAGTAGCTGCCTGCCTGCTCCCCTGTGCTCCTCCCTGATCCTCTCCCAGAGGGAAGACAGCAGAGGGAAGGCCAAGCTCCAACCACAGAGGGGCAGTCCACCATCTTGACAAATCCTCCAAGGTTTGAAGTGAAGGGGCTCTACTACACAGGGCTAGGCTCAGGGAAGGACCTGGCAAATTCATTTCATCCAAGTTTATCTGTCCTACCACAAAATCTCTTGTCCGTTTCTACTCAGTGATGAAGACCAAACCCCGGCCTGGCCTTACCCAGTAGCCACCGAGGCCCGTACGGGTGTAGTTGGTGTAGATGCAGGAAATGAAGGGCACGTGCCGGCGCTTGACAAAGACCAGCAGGAGGAGCCCCTGCATCCTTATGGAGGTCTCCTGTGGGGCAGAGGAAGGGGGGTCGCCCAGTTATTTCAGAGCTACATCTTCGAAGGCCTCCAGCTCCGCCCTCACATCCATGACCACTCTTCCACCCACAAGCTCTGGGGTAAAGACTGTGATGCCGATCTCTGGGTGAGTCTAGTCTGGTTTGACTTTCTACCTTGAGCCTATGACCCCACTCTCTAAGACCTAAGGGAGAGGGAATAGTTTAAGAAACTCATTCATGGGGCAGCTAGGTGGCCCAGTAGATAAGAGTTCCAGCCCTGGAGTCAGGAGGACCTGAGTTCAAATCTGGCTTCAGACCAGATACTTGACACTTACTAGATGCGTGACTCTGGGCAAGTCACTTAACCCCAATTGCCTCACCAAAATGCAAAAAAAAAACCAAAACCCATTCATGACAGTGGATATCTGTGCTCATCCTGAGGAACAATGGAAAGCAATGACTCCAAATCCCCCAAGCCCAGCTAGAGAACCCTTGGTCACATCTGTCATTTCTCTTGGAAGCTCTCTGAGATCTGTTCAGGGCTGCTTCTCCCTTAAAATGTGTGCCCAGACTGCTGAGAATCTCTGATGTTCCCTAAGACCCCAGCTGTGGGGGAGGTGGGAGAACAGTGTCATGGGGGTGCTCCTCAAATATACAGTCTGGGGGTATGTGAAGGAAATATGAGGTGGTCCAGGAGGCTGGGGGGGGGGTGTGACTGCTAAAAGTAGAGGAGATACCTAACACAAAATGGGAAATAGCAATGACTTAGGATGAGGGAAAGGACACCCAAGGAGGGGGGGCTACAGCTAAAATATGCCAATTTGGGGGGCCTGAGGGGAGGCTCTCTGCTCCCCCTTCAAAAAAAAAAAGCTGCATTAAAGCAGAGGCCTCAAACCTACTCTCTGAGTGGCCATTTCCGGAGCACTCAGCCCTAAGCTGGAGGAGGAAATCCCCTAGGCGGGAACATGTCCTGGGGCCTTCCAGGAATTATGAAACCTGATCCCTGAGTTCAGGGAGCTCCAAGGTAGAAGACAAACCAAAGTGGGGAAACCCCCAAGAATGGAGCGGGCTAAGGTAAAGAGGCAGGGCACTGCATTAAGCGGACATTTCAGAAGAACCTCCAGCAACTTTGGTGGGGAGCATGCGTGACAGGCTGAATTCAAGAACTGAGTGAGAGCCAGTTAACAATCTATTTTGGTTCAGGATGTTTCCAGATAATCCTAAATGGGCTGGCAGGTTTGTACCCTGGCTTCACCCCAAGGGTAGCCACTCCTTCCTGGCTGAGTGCAGACACGGGTGGGAGTCCTGGGACAAAGGCTTCCTTGCAGGTACCTAGAGCTGGGCAGGGACAGACAAGCTGAAAATGGGTGGGGCAGTGATTATCATAGGGAGACATCAAGGGGAAGTTTTGAATTTTGGGAGAAAGAAAAGAGCAAAGAGAACACTGAGTATGACTGAGTTAGCAGGAAGAAGGCAGAGGGGAAATAAGGAGATCTGGCAGTAGTAGGGCCACAACATTCAGAAGAGACCTGACCTTCCCATGGCGTGTGTGGCCTAATTCCTGCTGAGGCTCCAGGTCTCCCACTGCTCTTCCCCACCTCTTAGCAGAGGTAACCTGAAGGTGGGTGTCTCCCCCAAGTTCCTCCTTGGTGCCTGGCCCACATCACACCCTATCTCCTTCAGGGGTCAGTGCTCAGAATGCGGTGGGCTGAAGTCATTTCCTTAGTGGTGCTCTTTTACCAAGTTACTGCCAACTCAGGGACGGGAAAGGTCAACTAGCCCCACCTTTTTTTTGGGCAGGGTAATAGAGTAGGGAAGAGAGGTGTGAGAAGGCAGGAAGAAACTCCACGCTGAGGCTAGTAGATGGTACAGTGCATTGGCTTCACTGGAAAGGGGTTGGCCTTGAATGTGATTCTTCAGGAACTGGCATGGGAGGGGAAGGATCCTGAGAATGATCCAGCAGCATAAAGAACAAACTCAGGCTTGAAATTTGAAATCCCGTCCCACTCTCAGGCCAGCAGGTCACAGTTCCAGAATTTTTTCTAGAGAAATATTTCCTCCCTAGGGAGGAGAATAAAGAGGTTCTGATATGGATCAGAGAAACCCTCAGGTCAAATGAGTGGAAGAACCAGGGGGTCTCAGTTTGGCCTTAGGAAATCACCAAGATAATTTCCCCTTTCAGCAAAAGGAACCCTATACTTCCCTCTGTCTCTCCCAGGACCGGCTCAGGCCTAGCCTAGGTCCTCAGCCCTGCTCTGGGCTGCTCCATCTCCTACAGCATGAGATCTACGCCCCCTTTGGCACCAGTGTAATAGCCTTGGTACAGATTCTCCCCTGGCTTGAGGTGCCACCCTCTGGTGCACAAACCAGGCAACCTGGGAGGGGTGGTGTCAGAGAAGGAATCTGGGGGGGGTGGGGCAGAAAGAACAAGTGGGTCAAGGAGATCTGATGCCTAATCCTGGAACTCTCCCAATCCTCCTAAAATCAAAGGGTCAAACTGACCTTCGGACCTGGCCAGTACCTACTGAGATAAGACTTGAAGAGCCTTACATAGCAGGGAGGATCAGCACCAGGGTCGTGAGGGAAGTCTAAGTTTAGAGTTTGAAGTAAACAGAAGATAACATGAGAGATGTAGGCCAGGGAAGGTGAGGAAAGGCACCAAAGGCCCTGATGGCTCATTGGAGTCACAAGGCCAGCCCTCTCTTCATCTGTTTCCCCACCCACTCGATCGGGGAGACGCAGAGACACGGTGTTTAGGGTGGACGTCAGGAGTCATCCAGACAGAGCCAGAGTCTCCTCCTGCCACTACTGGGGACAAAAGCTTCCAGAGGATGCCCAGAGGAAAGGGAAGTGTTTTTCAAGCTGAAGAGACAGAAATAGCTGATGACCCTGGACAATACCCCACACTGAGAGAGACAGAGTCCACAAAGTACAGCCCACAGGCTTCACCCCTCATGCAAGAGGATGGGGGTGGGGCAGGGATTGGGCGGCCCTAGTTTTTCTGTCCGGAGCATGGCCCAGCCCCAAGCACTAAGGCTGCCTGGGCAGAGGTGGATGGAATGGTCCCCACTCTTACAAGGAAAAGGAGAAGTCTGCAGCTGGTGCTGCTGGCATGCCATTTCTATGGCAGCCAACAGGGAGACTGAGACCGAGTCACTCAGTCTGGGCCAGGCAACAGAGGAACAGGGGAGCCAGGAGGTGAAGAAAAGGGGCCCGAGCACCCACTGAGCCATTTCTCTACCTAAGCGGGGGTTGGTATATGACCAAGTTTCCAGGGACCTTTTCCTAGGAACAGATCTTCCTGGCTTCTTATCTCAGAACTAGCTGGGAAGCAGACAAACCAAAACCTGAAAGGATTGGGGAGGGGGGGGTAATCCTCAGGTGAAAAGCCAGTGCAGAACATTAACCTTCCAAGTCCATTTCCCTCCCACCCAAAGCCAAATTCCAGGATCACTCAGTAGTTACCTTTATATAACCCAGAGGGGAAAGCACGTTCATGAAGAGCTTGCTCCATGGGTCTTCAAACGCCAACTCAGAAAGGTAATTGATGATGCCAGACTTTACTTCCTGTAAACTGACCATTCCAGTGGTCACTGTCTTTGCCATTGAAACTTCACCCTGTCCTTACGAAAACCCAGTAACAGCCAAGAACCCTGATTCTGCTCACGATAAATTTCTCCCCCTTGCTGCAGCTGACCCAGGGCAAGGGACATACAGTTGGACCCCAAAGGAGGCTGAAAGCTCCTGCCTTTAGATGACGGTGGAATATAAGGACAAATGGGACAGTGGGGCTGTGGAGGCTCATTCTCCTCTGCTGTCCTCCTCTGTCATCCTACCCCAACTCCCAATCGATCAGTGAGGTTTAATCGATTTCAGGACGAATCTCAAGAGTGATTCCCAACAGAAACTTACCCAATGACATACATGTCGATGCTCAAAGGTTCGCTATCTAGCAGGAGCAAGTCATTGACGTTGGTCGGGGGTGAAGCAGACGCCACGTTCCAGGTCATGACATGCAACCTGTGGATGAATGCACAGTGAGGCTCCAGAAAATGAGAGGGCAGGGAACAAGGGGCGGCCCTGGCCTCCAATCAACGGTCTTTCTAGGTGAATGAAGCTGTTAGGAGGACAGAATAAGAAATGAGAAGATTTTACATCTGACTGGGAGAAAAATGAGACCTAAATTGCAGACATTTCTCCTTCAGCCTTTTCCCCCAGAGCAGGAAAGCCTGATCCAGTGTTCGAGCCATCTCGTCCTGGATCTCTTCATCTGAGCTGATGTCCTCCACACAGGTCAGAAGCTGCGCCACTCGCTGCCGGAGGGACGTGTGACCCACAGAACTGGTGCTGCTCACGCTGGGGGAGCGATCCCGGGACAACGGTGAGGTCTCAGAGTCAGGCAAAGAAGAAGATGGGCCGTCTTCTCTCTCCATACGCCTCACCACCCACCCGGCCACGCAGCAGTCACTGACAGGCCACCACAAGTCCCGGGAGCCCAGCAAGAACCAAGATTCCCAGGAATATCCTGAGTCAGCTTCCACTGGGGGGGTAAAGTCTTGGGAAAGTCCAGAGAGATTGAAAATATTAAATAACAGGGCATTCATTCTCTTAAGAGACTTAATAGTCAATCCTTCTAAGTCTTTGAAAACTCTAAGGAGAAACATGTGAACACTTATTGGTATATCTGGGATTTTCTCTAAGAGTCAAGCGAAAGAACTTTCTACCTCTCCCCTCCTCTGGGCAAAGTCACCTGTTGAGTCCTACCCCATCCCTCACATATCCTAGGGGGGAACAGAATACACCCTCAATCCTAGGGGATTTTGGGTGTTCCTTCCTTTGAGGCTTAGGAGAAACCTAGGGCAAGGGAAGAAGGACATGAGGAGAAGCATACCACAGAGCTGTCATGGGACATGGGGCTGAGCCCCATCCTAGGCCAGCTGTGCCACAAGGCAGCCAGGACAAACAAGTCTCTTGGAGGGGTAATAGCAGTTCATGTATATTGTTGCTTCACAGTTTATAAAAGTTTTTCCTCACAGGTCTGCTGTTACTGACATTTTACAGCTAAGGAAAAATGGGAACAGGGCGAGGTTAAATACCTTGCCCAGAGTCATACAGCCAGGAAACCGGCAGAAGAGGGACTTAGACCAAGGTTACTTTCTAACTCCAAGTCAACCCATGGGCCAAAGACCCTTGGAGGGGGAGAGAGTTCCATAGAGTTATTGCAAAGGGGCCCTGAATTCACCTGCAAATTCATAAATATACCTTCTACAGATTGAATAAATGTACTGTACATAGATGTGCAATTTTTTTCAATGTTTGTTGATGCTGTTGTGATTAATAAAATAATTCATTAAAAAGTATTGCTGAATTCATAGTAGCTTTATGTCATTATGTATTTTCCCAATCAATGACTACTAATAGTATAATTACTACCACGTAGGAGTGTTCAAACAATTCTGATGTTAAAAAAGGGTCTTCATACTGTAAGATGAATCATCCCCAGCAGGCTCACAAACAACAGCCTGGCTGAGGCATTTCAACTGCAGAGGCAGAAGGGAGAGGAGAGGCAGTGGGCCCGGAAGGCACGTCTTTTCAGGCTTCAGAGTAATTTGGTGAGTTCCTTTTTCTGTTTTGCTTTTTTGAGGGAAGGAAAAAACAAAAACAAAAACAGAGAAATGGGAAGCAAGGACATAGCCTGCCTAGTTGCCCCCCAAGTATCAGCTCTCTTAAATTCCGTGTTTTAAGAAAGCTGGCACCTGCTGACAAATCTCCGGTGCCCTGGGTCAACCTCCTTACCTCCTCCTAGCACCTATAAAGAGGCTTCCCCACGCGGTTGGCAGATGCTGAGCTTGGATGGCCGGCTGAAGATCTCCCCCTGGCGTCCACCCCCGGGGCAGGGACACCAACTTTAGCCTTCTTCTCTGGCCCGGTCTTGGGGGGCCCAGGACCGCTCCCTTCCTGGTCTCTCCTCCCGGGGGGCTTCGTGACTCGCTTTCCCAGCCCGGGGGCTCGGGGCCACTCTCTCCCGTGTATAGGGAGCTTTGGAACCCAGCTCGGCCCACTCACAACGGTCCTCGGCGATGGACCCCCTCGGAATCGGGGATGCCCGGGCCCCCAAAGCCCCCTTCCCCCGACGTTCCACTTTGGGGCTGACACCGAGCCTCCTAGAATCCGCTAATGCTCCGAGCTTTTGAGAAAAAACCCCAGGGGAGGCAGCCACAGGGGTCTCTGGAGATCTCCCTGGGGCCGGCACAGGCGAACAGGGGGGGTGTAGTCGGGAATGAAGTAAGAACTGCGGCCAATCCGGCCTCAGACCCTCGCCGGCTGTGGGGGTGCGGCCCAGCCCCTCAGTTTCCCCATCTGTAAAATGGGATCTGAATGCCTACCCAGTACCTACCTCTTAGGGGGGGCGGAGAGCAGTGGGGGGGGATGCAGGGGGAGTGCACGCTGGGCCACCCCGCCCCCTCCCCTCCCCTCCCCTCCCCCCACCCATGACAGCGAGGATTACTTAGGATTAATTCTGCAGCTCGCCAACCTCGGGGGGCGGGGGGGTGGGGTGGAGAGAAGGGGGAGGGAAGGCCGCCCCGCCCCCGCCCCTCACCTGAGCCTCTTGAGGTGCCTCATCTTTTTGACGGGCCGATCCATGACCACGGCGGCCAAGGGGTCTGTGACAAGGGAAGGAGCCCACGATAAGCCGGAGCCCGAGCCTCCCCGATCCCGGGCCGGGCCGGGCCCAGGCCGCGGCCGTTACTCCCACGCCCCCCTCCCCTCGCCGGGCCAAGCCGGCTGGGCCGCGCTGGCAGGCGGGTGGGCGGCGGGTCCCCGAGGGCGTCTCTCTCTCTCTCTGCCTCGCCTGTTGTTTGTTTCCCTTCCTCCTAGGCTTCCGTAAGAGGCGGGCCTTGGGCGTACGGAGACTCCTGGGTGGGTGCGCCGAGGAAGAGGGCGGGGCTTCCAGGAGAGCACAAAACCAGAGGCCGAGGCGGGACTTGGGGAAAAGGGAGGGGGACTGGGGCGGGGAAGGGGAGGGAGGGGACTGGGAAAAGGGGCGGACCTTTCCTTGTCACCTAGATACGACGCAACAGCCGCCGCCAGCGTTCTCCCGGCACGGGACCGACTCCCCCAGGCCCAGAACGCAGAGCTTGTCTTCCCCGCCGCGGACTACAGCTCCCAGCATGCTCCGCGAGCCGCGCGTTCAAACGTGAGAGTCGGGGGCGGGGCGCGGCAGCTTCCGGCGCTGCCCAGCCTCGGCCTAGGGCGCCCCTGTGAGCCTGGGAGCGTTACTGCCGGGTGGCTTTGGGCTGTGGCTCGGCCCCGGCTGTTGGGGAGGGGGAGGAGTGTCCCTGCTAATAACAGGTGCTCGTGTATTCCCCGCCCAGCCTCCTCCCATGACGATATCCCCGCTCAGGACGCACGTACCCCCATTGTCCACCCCAGCTGACCCTGTTCCCCCCGCCCCCACCCCGCTCTTCCAGCCTGGGAGCCCTCGCCTCTACCGCCCTGCTGTAGTGGACGGGCCTTCTCTGCTGCAAATTAGAAACCTGGGCATCACAGAAACTAAGCAGTAAATAAACTGAAATAACCCTAGCCTTTGCCTTACCTTAATACACTGCCTATCCCAAAATATCTTTAAGGTCACAACCAAATAAATTAGGGGCTGTTTTACGAAGGACTGGGTGCCTTAAAAATGAATAGTTCTGCTACAAATTGAGTGTTTTCACATCAACTACTTTGCCAAGGGGGAGCAGTAAAGAGACACTCCAGCTAAAAAAATCATAGAAGCCACTACTACCTGAAGTAGGAGTAGAATCGGAAATAAATATTTGAATCCATAATGTAAATCAAATGGAAAAATAGGATCATGTTTCAAAAAAAATCAACGCGTACACATTTTATCGGGAACCTTTGCTTGTTAGGAGTTTAAATGATTCTGAATGTATTTCCTTTGCAAAACATTTACAGGAACCTTCATGTGAGGACACCAACAATCTGGACTCCAGAGAGCTGTGTCTATGATTTTATTAGACTTTTTTCCCCAATATACCTGTATTGGAAGATTAGGAGACAAAAAGGCACAAACTCACATTAAAGAAACAACAAGGTAATCTAGTTAATTCTACAAAGTGTTTTTTTGTAAAAGGAATAGCACTAGGAACCAATCAAAACATGTCAGGGGTCCCAGCAGGGACAGTTAAGAACCCAGGAAGGTGCATGGGTGTCAGAGATAAAAATTCTCACTGCACACCTCCCTTCCATTGAAATGCCAGAGCCCAGCACCCAGTCCTGGAGCTATCCTACCGAGGATGGTCTTGTAGGACTGCAATGCTGGAAATCTAATAGCAGCAGCACGTCTGGAGCCAGAGTGCATCCTCAGGCATAACACCACCCTCGCCAAGCCTCCCATGATGATGATGGGCCCCTCTAAGAGCTAGCTAGCGGGGTTGGGGGCCAAGGGGATGGGGAGGCTGGGCAGAGAGAGGTGGGGGGTGGGAGTGTCTTAGAGAAGCCAACGCCAATACCCAGCAGCAGAAGCAGCAGCAGCACCATCATCTGGAGGGTGAGCCCTGGCCTCCCTTGATGCTCAGAACTACAAGATCAGGGGGGATTCTAAGGGTCTTTCCAGCTCAGGTCTTCTGAACGCTTTCACTCTGGGTTAAAATGGGAAGGGGGGGCGGGGTGCAGGCAAGGAGGAGGTAGGAAGAAAGCAAAAATCTCAGGAGGATCTCAAGTTCTGTGCATTGATCTTATTTAGAAGCTGGCGAGACTGGTATTGGAAGGACTTTCTCCTTTGTGCCTTTCCTGACTACAACTGCGTAAACATTCATTAGCTTTGAATGTCAGTCTTTTCCCAGACGGACAGATGTCTAGACTCTACCTTCCAGATGAAGGCAGGAGAAGAAAACTGTTGTTTAAGCACAAATATGGCTAATAGCAAGAGAATGATAAGGGCAACACTGACATTTTCCCTGTGTAGTCAGCACAAACGACCAATTGCAATGCCCCTGCTGCCTATCCAGGGGACCCGAAACGAGGAGGCTGCTGGACGTGGGTGATCACTGAGAGGCCAAGTGTCTGCAACGGGAGGCCTGATAATGGCCAGAAGTAACTCTCTTTTAGAAACCCAGGGTCCATGCTTCAACTCAGTTGGCTCTGGGTCTGCCTACCCCATGCCCCCAGAAGGGTCCCAGAGAAGGGTCCACCAGAGTCACAGGTGAAGTCCTACACTCCTTTTATTGCACTTAGAAATGAGTAAGGCAAAGCAAACTACCAGAGACCCGAGGACAAATGACCTCCTTCCTGCCGAGAATCTTGCCTCTCTCTTGGGCAGTGCGAGCACAGCGCAGCAAGGCCTTAGAACACTGATGATCTGAGCAGCTTTGGAGAAATGTTGACACCCCAGCTGCTTCAGATACATGCCCCTGGCTTGGGTAAGAGTCCTCTCAGGTTCTGCTGAGGAGGAGGAGGAGGAGGAGGAGGAGGAGGAGGAGGAGGGGCCTTCAGCAGCTGGCTAATTTGAGTCAGGGCGCTGCCTGCAAGGCCAGCTTGGCTAGAAGCTACAGCTCCTCCCCAGGCCCGCCCCGGTGGACTGTTGGATAGAAGCATCCCTCTGAACCCTCTGGGATTGTCTAGAGCAGAGCTCAGCATGGGCAAATGAAAGACCCGGCCTTACAGACCGGGCCTTTTCCTAATCCCTCTCCAGCAAAACTGAACGATGAGAGGACTTCACCTTTGGGCAAAGGGGACTTCTTGCATGCAGCATGAAAAGACTGGGACCTTCCATCCTAGCCAGTCTCAAAGCCAGGGAAGAGGGCTCCAAGAGAACATGGGATTATTGCTCAACAGAAGCACCAGCCTGACTGAGAGGCAGGGCACAGGCATAGATAGCACCCCAAGGGGTCACTTATCACAGGTGATGTTACAAGGGCCAAATAGGACAGAGCCCCTCTAGCTATAGAGACTTGACAGTGACATTATGGGCTCTGCAAACAGATGCAGACAAAGTGAGTTTCAGCATGGTTTAGGAAGCTATTAGGTGTCTCCAAAGACAGGGATTCCAAGTGCTGGTGCTGAGGGCTGGGCTTGTTTTTGTTCCTAAACTCTGATTGGCTAAGCCTTGGCTACCCTTGGGATGAAGCACCAGGATACTGAGATGCCAGAAGCAAATGTTACAAGTCTTGAAGCTGCACTGCCATTCCAGGGACCAGGGGTGGAGTGGGGGCTGGGGGAGAAGGAAAAGGAGAAGAAAAATCGATCAATCCACCCAATAGCTTCTTTCTCCCCAGGTTAGCACTCAAAATCATGAGGGTCTGGCCAGGACACAAGGCCTCAGTTTATCCCAGGTTTAAAACAGACAAACTTAAATCATTGAAATCACATCACAAAAGACAGCTATTTCAGCTAAAAATGTCACTTGGAAATAGGGCCACATGGAAATGGGTCAGAACACAATGGAGAGAGGAGGGAGGAGCTGTCAATCCAGAGACCTACACGCCACACGTCTCACAGGCGCCAGCGTCCGCACACATGTGCTTGATAATACCAAATGGTCTATTTGTTCACAATATTAAAGGGCATCTAGAGTTAGCTACAAGGGATTGGAAATCGCCTGTCGAATGGGCACAGAAAGGCTGGGTCCGAAGATGGCCTGTCACTCAGGAGGGTGGAGCTGCTGGGCCTTCCTGCTGACCACTGTCTTGCAAAACTAGGGGAAAAAAAACACAATTATTATGGGAGCAGCAAGGGAAAATACAAGTATACCATAAAACATCTTTAGTGGACGTTCCAGCTTATGGAGGAAGGGCTACCAGGCTAACTTGCAGCCTTGGCCCATGCAGGGGCCATGACTACTACCCTATACCATACACTTAAGATCCCAGTCTTTATACCCCCAGAAAAGCCACTTCTATGACAGTGAGGCAGAGAGACAAAGGGGAAAGGTATGTAGTCCCCTCTCTTAGGCCCCTAGCTTTCCTAGTGAGAGAAGATGGCATGTCTTATTGATCATTTTCTAGCAGCGCTGAACTGGATCATGGAACAAAGTAAGATTTTCAATAAAGAAACTTTGACTCTGAGAAATGGGTCTCTACCAGAGTCAGAGCCACTCACGTAGGGGAAAGCTAGAAGGGGCTTCGGGAAGAGTCACAGAACAGAACAAGGGCAGAAACTATTGAGAAATCTTTTCGTGGTTCTATGGAGTCAAGTCAGATTTTTTTCATTTTATTTTTTACCAGACCTCTAATTTTATCAGTGGAGGGGGCTTTCTGTAGGGTACTTCTTTAATGCACACCAGTACCCTCCCTTGAACTTGCAGTCTTAGGGAGTTGCTGGGTCACTGAGAGCTTAAGTGATGTGCCCGGGGTCACCCAGTCAGGATGTGCCCCTCAAGCCAGTTCTCTATCCATTATTTCAGGCTCCCAACTCTAATGACAGATTACTTCCAAATGGCTAAAAGGTCCAGACTGATGGAGGGAACTACTTAGGCTGAATCCAAGGTCCGCAAACAGGAGTGAAATGACAGGTGTCAGGGCCACCATCAGAAAATGTCACAGAATGCTCCCGAAGATAATTTCCCAAGACAAAGGGTGGGAGTGACACTTTTTGGATGCTGGAAATGGTCCAGACACTTGACTGAACATCATGGCTTTTACCTTGCTCAGGGGTAAAGGGTATTCCTGACAACAACCTAAGAATAGGCTGATGACCCCAAAGGAGGGCCTAGCAGGCTGGGGGGATCTGAGAAAGGAGGGATGGAAGTGGTAAGGGTTTCTCAACATAGAGGCAGGCTGGAATTAATGTTTCTTTTCTGGTCCATTCTCTATCATGCACCGACTACCCAGTATTTGACTATTCCTGTGTGATTCTCAAAGAAAAAAAAAATCCCCAAATTCATAAACATTTTCAATGAAATCTGAGGCGTGGGCTGCCAGTCTGGCAACCACACCATTGCTGCTTTAGGAGGGAAGTTTATCTGATTTCCCAAAGAGTTGTCAGGCCTTTAAAACCTCAGGTTTGAACCTTAGCTTCCATGATGTGCAGAACGAAAAAACTTGGTACGTACAGTGCTGAGGGGAAGGGATGGCATTAGTCATCTGCTGTCATTCCTTTCACAGGGTCTTTTTCTCTCATCTGGAAGAGAGAGGGACGAAAAGAAAAAGATCTCAGCTGTTGATAGAAATTTGCCATAAACATCACCCCCTTCACCCTTTCCAGGCTCTTTGATAAAGGCTCAGTCATGTCAAATAACTGAGGCAGAATGGTTTTGTGGACAAGCTGAGAAATTGGGAATGGGATGGTGCATTTACCAAGGACATCTATCAGAGCCCCTCTCCACCAGAGGCTCCTGTCTCTCCAGTTGGGCTGCTCACCAATTCTCAACCCCCAAGCCACGTTCTGTGTATTCTCACAGGGGTCCTAGGGGTGAAGGGAGGTGTCCAAGCTCCTGCCTTGGGAGCTCTCCTGAGTTCTGCTTAGACCCTCCAAATCGGTCACGTTCACATTACTGAGCTATCTATTGCACACGTGTGCCTCTGCCCCTTCCCTCAGACAAGGGTTTTTGACTTTTTTGGGCGTCCTGGACCCCTTGGGCAGACAGTTTGGTGACGCCTATGGATCCCTTCTCAGAATCATGTTTTTAAATGGACAAAATAAAATACATAGAATTACAAAGGACACCAATTATACTGAAAAACAGTTGTCAAAGTATTCTTAAAAACAAGTTTATGGGCTTCAAGTTAAGCTCTGCTCTAAGACTTCCTAATTCAGGTCTCTGAAGGCACAATTTTCTCTCCCAGTTCTTTCATTTCCTTCAGCCACTGTGTGTTGGAATGAAGATTCTGGCAAGCACCATCCCGCTCCATTCTTAAGGCCTTCAGTCTCCTTATTTATAAGATGGTGGTCACAATACTGGTCATATTTACTTTACAAAGCTGTCAGGAAAGGGCTTTGTAAACCTCAAAGTATCATAGAACTGAGTAGTTGTTACTATTATGTCTAATGTTCCCTGCATTTCTAGAGATCCCTCACACCACCACAAGCCCCTTAGCCTTGCTCTGAAGGCCTTTCTAAACCAAATGCCCTCTTACAAAACCTACCCATGGTGCAAGGTCCAACTCCAATGTACCATCTTCCCCATGCCACTTCTGATGCCCTACTACACTAAGTCAGAACTGATCTTTCCATTCCTGGCCTTTGGCTACCTCCTATGCTGGTCTTTACCAGAGTTTTTATATATTTATATATGTTTTGTATTGCCCCTCCGAACATCAGAGTGTAAACGTCATGAGGGCAAGGAGCTTGTTTTACATATCTCCATCTCTTTCTCAGGGCTTTTCACATCATAGGCTCTTTATAAATGGTCCTTCAGTGAAAGCAGGATGCTGAGAGAAGGGGCCTTTTTCTTAAAACAATTTTTTTAAAAAATCTGGTATGTCACACAGGAACCAGAAAACAGATCAGGATATGAACATTTTCAGAATACTGAGTAAGAAAAGTAATTACCCATCTCCTCTCACTCCCCTCAACTTTCTGAATTGCAGAGGGACCCTTCTGATATCTGACAGCAGGATAAGACTATTGTGTTCACAACTAAGAAGCTGTACCTCCATTGAAGCATTAGCAAAATTGTAACTGGATTTTCATAAATAAATTAAAACAAGACTTTGAATAATCATGTATTAAGTTCTGATCAAAGGCCAAAGAACCCACAAGGCCAACTCTAAGATGTCCCAAATGTTGGGACTTCATTTGAATGGCAAGTCAGTTGTATATATTTGTTTAGCATCCACTAGGTATCATATATAGGAGATAATTAACACATGAAATAGAAAATATTGTTATTTTATAGTTGGCAAGACTGAACATATGAAGGTCAATGAACATACTACCAACTGAGTATGAGTTTCCAAAGGGAAACAGAGTCAAAGAGCTGTCATCGTTGAGTAAAGTCAGCTAGAGAATACTTTCTGGAGGGAAGCGAATTTTGAACCAGATTGTAAGGAACATGAAATGGAGGAGATATATTAGGAAAATATCAGCCAGAGCCTCTAGTTCAGCAAAATTCAAGATTCTGAGTTATTATGAGCCAAACACCCCTGACTGAAAAGTTTGGTCCAAGTCAGCAGGAGTCACAGGAACAAAAGAAAAGGAACCAGTGTCATCTTCTGAGTGTGCCCATCCCTACAAACTTCTGGGCTCTGGTGCTTCCATTGGACGTGCTGAAAGTTTACTTGACGTTGTTCCTAGGGCCCAAGTAGGCCAGGCACCTGCTTGCCTAACACTCGGAAGTTAGGGAATAGCAAACCAAAATCAGAAGGCATATTGGGACTCCACTGACCAGAAAGGAAAGGAATTAAACCAATAAAGGTGTTTTACAGCCTCCTTAATTCCAGCCCGAAACTCAGGAGGGCTTCATTGCACAGAGAAAATACCACTTTCTATATGCATGGGGCCCAGAACAAGACAGGCTTTTATAACCTAACAAGTGATGTACTTAACAATAAAAAGGAGGCCAGGGCAGCTAGAGGCCCCGAGGCACCAAGAAACAAGGGTTATCCAAGTGAGGTAAATCTTATCTCCTAATAAGAGAGAGGCTAAGGGACAGTCCTAACCCAAATTCACCAAAAAGGTATAAGTGAGTCCTGACAGTCATCCCCAACCTGAACTGCACCCCCAGGGCTCCCTTACTAACGGGTTGAGTTCAGTGCTGAGCCCTAAACCAAGAACCAACCAAAACCCTTCTGGAGAGGGATCGGAAGTGTAAACAAGATTCTTAAGTGATATGGTGGATAGGATGCTGGACTTGGAATCAGGAAGACTTGAGATAGAATCCTGCCTCAGATACTAACCAACTGTGTGACCTGCTCATCAATAAAATAGAGAGGACCATAACACCTACTCACGGGGTTATTGGCAAGGCACAAGGGAGATAAGGCATGCAGAGGGATTTACAATCCTTAAAGCACTATTTAAACACTAACTAGCATAGGAGGGTTGGGAGAAGTAGACAAAAGACATGAAATTTAGATGAATGACAATGGACAAGATAAGACTGAAGAGAAACTGAATGAAGATCTGGATGTACAGGTTACTTTTGGCATTCACAGGAGATATATCCTAGAGATATCCATGAATGGGGGACATAGGCATATCTTTGCTAACTGATCATCTCTTTAATGTATCATGAATTTGCTCCATTTTCTAAACTCAGCCCAAAGAAGTAGTGACCAAAGCACTCTCCAGTATGAGATAATGCTAGAAAATGTAACAGGAGCTAGATTATGGAGGGCCTTACCAAAAAGGCAATACAGCTCAGTGCTTGACTTGGAGGCAGGAAGACCCGAGTTCAAATCCTACCTTGAATACCTGCTAGCTGTGTTACCATAGGCAAATCACTTAGCCTCAGTTTCTTCAGCTATAAAATGAAGATAATAATTTATGTGGCAGTTGCATCCAGGGTTGCTGTGAAACTCAAAGGAGATGATGTGTGTAAATTATTTCGCAAACCTGAAAGCCTTATGGCAGTTATGACCTTATTTTTCTTCTCATCTTCAGTGGGGTACAGACAGAAATAACCCTGGAGCAAGCCACTCTCCTATTCTTTCTATTTAATGTTCTCTGAACTCTTAAGTAGAAGAGAAAATAGATGTTTTTTGTAGCAGAAAGCATCCTTGGAATGACGCTGGTCGTGAGAGGACAACAAGGAGGATCCGCCCCTCCTCCAGCGCCAGGCGTTTATGTGGTCACTTTGGGAATGGATCAGCATTGCTTCTGGACCACCGGTGGCAAGGTTGGTCGGTAAAAATGGCCTGGTTTTAGCTTATAGGTTGGGTTCTCCAGGATGTTATAGTATGGAGACTGACCTGGCAATTCATTAAAGAGATCAAGCTTCTGATAAAGAATTCTAGTTGCTAGGTATTCAGTAGGTGCTCAGTGTTTACAGCCTGAAGTCATATGTTGTAGTTCCTTCCATTTCCTTGCACAATCTGCATTGATCACTAGGTCTGGGCTCCTTACAGATAACCCTTCTGTGATTTCTGTTGGCAGGGACTTGAATCTCCCTTATGATCCTGTTTTCAGAAGGGAGTCTGCATGATTCAAACTTGTTCAATACTTCTTTGCAGACATGGTTTTGGCTGGGTTTCAGGTGGACGTGCCCAAGGTCCATGCTGGGATCTTCATGGTTTCCTTGGCTCCTCCTAGAGGCAAGCCGCTTCTGGTGACAGGAGACAATCGGGGGCGTGTACCCGATAGCAGCCTTTATGATGGCTAGGTAAAGTGGCACTGTTGTTATCGTTATTACCTTTATTAAATCCCAGGCTAGTATCTTATCCTATAGACCATGGGGAGTCAGTAAGGATTTCTAAGTAGAGAAATGACATAATGAGACTTGTGATGTAAAAGGACTATTTTGGTAGCCGGGTGGAGGATGGCTTAGGGAAGGGAGAGACAAAGCCAGCAGACTAATTAAGAGGCTATTATAGTTGTCCAGCCAAGAGGTAATGAGTATCTGAACTAGGAGGGAGCCTGTGCGGGTGGAGAAAAGGAGACAGATGTGAGAAAGGTGGTAAACATAGAACAGACAAGAGTTGGCAATTGACTGGATACGGTAGGTAACAGAGAGGGAAAAGTCAACACAATCTTGTTTGCTTTATGAGAATAAAGAAAGGATGGGGAGAAGAATATATTAGAGAAGAAATGAGAAAGAAGGTACTACTTACTACCTCTCAGAATGAGGATGAAATCAAAAGAACATACAAAGGAGGGTACTGAATATTTCAGAATCTCAGTCTTATCTGAACTAGGTAAAAGGTGGCAGAACACACACACACACACACACACACACACAGACACACAGACACACACACACACACACACACACACACACACACACACACACACACAGAGATCTTAGTGCCAAAATACTTTATAAGCCAGAGGATAGAGAGAGGATAGATTTGGGAAGGGAATAGTCATTAAGCAAAATAAGTATCAGCTACAGTGGTCTGATTATCAAGACAGTATAGAATGGAGAGAAAGAAAAGGCAAGAACCCATGACCTGGGTGAAGACTGGAAGAGACAAAAGTGGGATTAGGCCACTCCAATTATAGGTGACTAGTAATAACAGAAG